AAAATATACGACTTTTAAGATATCTTATAAGCTTATTATATTATAGAGATAATAATTATTATAAGTCTTTAAATATTTGTTGGGATAAAAAGGGAAAAGCTACCACGAAGCAGATCGTGGCCCCTTAAGTCCGTGGGATCAACCTTAGTCCGGCTAGGTCAGTCGGTGCCAGACAAAGGTAGAAGGTCAAAGGTCGTAGGATAGACTATAAGCAGATATAGCCTAAACGAAGACAGAACCACAGTCCTGAGGATCAAAGGAAGAAGGTAGAGATAACTTTTGGAAAGTGGAAAATGACTTCAGGAAAGTAGAACTGACTTGATTCTTTCTGGTAGAAAAGAGGGACATATTTATAGGCTAGGATAGCCTAGAAATGATGTCTAGAATGACATACAAATACTAGGCAGCAACATAATAAAGGTGGCAAAGAAGGGAACCGAAGAAAAGCCAAAAGAATGATGTCAAGGATCGACGGTTTAAGCCACCCCGAAAGCTTCCCCGCAGTATCTGATTATGCATGCCCAAAGGTGGACCATTTTATCCCTAAGGGAAAGTGGTCCGCCTATCCATGAGGGGACCGAGGGTCGAAGTCTGTTCACCGAGGTCCGAAGACTATGGTCGAAGTCCGCAGGCAAGATATGCCCGAAGGCACCTCCGAAGGAACGGACCATTCATGCCTGAAGGCGGACCATTTACCTCTGAAGGAAAATGGTCCCGCCTATCGTTCGGGGGAGGGCCGCGGACCAGAATCAGAAGTGGTCAAAATATCATTTTGATAGAAGAAAAAATCTGGTCACGTGATCAATACAATCTGGTCTTATATGTTGAATATAAGGATAGATCTTTCTATGTAGCATTGGTCTATATTCCAATAATATTAGATCCGTATCTATTATTATTATTATCGATAACTAGCTATCTAATTATAGCCTATCTCGCGGAAGACGCTTATTATATAACCTAAAGAAAGATTTAAGACTCTCGCGATAAATTCTTTTTTAGTCCTTTTCTAAGTTATCTAACTCCTAACTCTTTATTAAAAAGAACTATAGCTTATTTATAGGCGCTGAAATTATATTAATAGTATAAAGGTCGCCTTTTATATTATCTATTATATTATAGTATTTTAATAGTTTCTCTTACGCTATCTCTAATAAGGAAAGTATAAGCTATTTTTATATAATCTTCTTTCGCTAGAGTTAATAAATAGATTTTTTAAGATAATTAAAAAGCTTATTATAGAAACTAAAGACTAAGTAAATATTTAAGTCTTAGATTATATAAATAATAGTTATATTTTTATAGAAGGGCTATAAGATAAATAAGAGGTAATTAATTTATCGCTACTCTTTTACGTTATATATAAAATAAGGTTAGTTATATTATAAGTAAAAGATATTAAAAGTAGCTTAAAGTCTCTTAGCCTAGCGAAGTATAAAATATATTAAGTTCTATTAAGTTTATATATTCTAAATAGGTATAAGCTTTAGCTTATTAGGCTAAAGGTTATAGAAGGCTTTATAATATTATAGACTTATATTAATATAAATAGTAAGATAGCGAACCTAGAAATATATATATAGATAATAAGCTTAAAGATTAATTATATAATAATAATAATTAAGAGACTAACCTTATTTAGTATATTAGCGATCTCTTACTTTATAATTAAGCGTGTACTTATACGCGATCCTCTTTTTACTTTAGTTCCGCGATATTATTCTTAGAAGTTACCTTTATCTTTCTAAGTAGATCTATAACACTAATTTAAATAATATATATAATATAAGATACTTAAATAATTATTAAATCTATATTAAGCTAGAGAGCCTAAATTATATTATTTATTATAACTATAAGTATTATATTATTTAATATATTATTAATAGTAACTATAAGAATATAGTTAATAATTTTATATTATTAAAGAATCTATATAATAGCCTTACTAAGGCTAATATCTAAATATATATTAGATAGAGATTTAAAGCTAAGGAGAACTTTATAATATATTTAGTCTTAATTTAGGAAGTAAGCTATAATTACTATAAATACTTATTAGAATAGTAATACCTAATAATTAAGTTTTAAATATAGCTTTATACCTAGCGGTAAGCTTTAGAGGTTAGTTATTTAGTTTTTAGTAATAAATTAATAGAGCCTCTTATATATTATTTTCTAAGAAAGAATAATTAATATTATTAGAGCTAATTATATATATAAGATAAGATTATAGAACTCTTAATACTTAAGGAAAAGAAAGAGTAAATATAATATAGTAACTAGATTTAGAAGCTATTATTCTTAGGTATTCTAATTAAATACCTAAATAAACACTCGCTAACTCTAATAAGTTAATAATTAATTAGTTTAAAGCTAAGAGATAATTTAGGTTATATATATAGCTTATATTAGTAGCTTATAGATATTTAGTTTATCTACCCCTTTTTAATATTATAGCCCTTTAAGATATTTATATATCGATAAGATACTAATATATTTAGTAGCTAAATAGTTAAGAACCTTCTAATATCTTATATATATTATATTCTGCTTTTTTTCCTTATATAAGCTACTTATTTAAAGCTATCCTAATAATTTACGTAATATTTTTTATCCTAATTAATTCGTTTCTTCTTTCTATAGTTTATTTAAAGCTACTAAGTTATAAACTCCTTATTTATTTTATCTTTATATAATAGGAATTAGTTTACTTAGTTAGGTTTAATTCGTATAAGGCTCTTAGGCGCTAAAGGTACTCTTCGTAGAGTATTAAGTATTATATCGAAGGTAAGCTAGCTTAATAGGAATAGGCTTATAAATAAGATATTATTTAGGATAAGATATTATAACTTATCTATTCTAACCCCCTTAATTACCGATAATAGATATATATTAGAGGTTTAGGAAATAATAAATATATAGGTTATAGAGAGGTAAAATAATAGGACTTATAAAGGTTTTAGATAAAAAAAAAGCTATTATATAAGGGGAATCTATTTACCTTAGTTACGCGAAGATATAAGTTAATATATTATTCTGTAGGCCCTTACTTAGCTAAAATTCTCTTATTTAATTAGGTCGCGAAGAGGGTAACCCTAAGGGTCTTAAGGGTTACCCTCTAGACCCTTTAGTTATATAGTCTTAAGTTTCGTAATTAAAAATATCTATCTAATAATCTAGATCTTTAAACTTATTTTATATAATAACTAGGATATCTAAGAGGAATATAAATTAGTAATTATTTAAATAAGTCTCTATTTATTTTATAACCGAAGAAAGCTTTTAATTTAGGGTATTTTTAGTATTAAAAAAAAGATATATTTACTATTATATAAATATAGTACTCTTATTCTACCTTTAGTATATATTTCCGTAACGAAACTCTTAACTTTCTATAACCCCCTTGAAAACTAGCTACCCACTGCGTAATTTAAATTAAATTTCAAAACACTAAGATAATACTATATAAGTTATCTATTTATAATCTAATTTCTTTAAGTTTTATAGATATTAGTATATAATTAAGGAAAAATAGAAATAGATACTAGAATAGCTATAAGTAATAGTATTTTTATAAGCTAAATCATTAATTTTATACGTCCGAAATAGGAAAGGCGCGAAGAAATTATATATTTAAGGGTCCGACAGACCCTGCGCGGGTAGCCCTTAAGGGACCCTTAGAGGGTTAGGGTTAGGGTTAGGGTAGGTGAGGTTGGACCCTAACCCTCGGAGGTACGGGTGGAGGTTCCTGATCTTAGACCCGCGGGGCGGGTGAGTGCCAGGTCTAAGAAGAAGCTTATCTTAGCCTTAATCTTAATATATTATAACTTAATATTGGAATATAGACCAATGCTACATAGAAAGATCTATCCTTATATTCAACATATAAGACCAGATTGCATTGATCACGTGACCAGATTTTTTCTTCTATCAAAATGATGTTTTGACCACTTCTGATTCTGGTCCGCGGCCCTCCCCCGAACGATAGGCAGGACCATTTTCTTTAGGGGTAAATGGTCTGCCTTCAGGCATGAATGGTCTGATCCTGCGGGGGTGCTTTCGGGGTGGCTTAGACCGTCGATCCTTAACATCATTCTTTTCGCTTCTCTTCGGTTCCCTTCTTTGCCACCTTCATTATGTTGCTACCTAGTGTTTGTACGTCATTTATATGTTATTCTAGACGTCATTTCTAGGCTATCCTAGCCTATAAATACGTCCTTCTTGTCTAGCAGATAGAATCAAGTCAGTTCTACTTTCCTGAAGTCATTTCTACTTTCCTGAAGTCATTGTCCACTTTCCAAAAGTCATCTCTACCTTCTTCCTTTGATCCACAGGACTGTGGTTCTGCCTTCGTTTAGGCTATATCTGCTTATAGTCTATCCTACGACCTTTGACCTTCCACCTTTGTCTGGCACTGACTGACCCAGCCGGACTAAGGTTGACCCCACGGACTTAAGGGGCCACGATCTGCTTCGTGGTAGCTTTCCCCTTATATCCCAACAGTTATGAGCCCGGATCTCGCTTCCTTTTGATATCTATTGCGGTCTTCTATTGAAGACTAGTCCTTCTGCTGCGGTCTTATACCCGATAGTTATAAGACTTGTGATCCAAAGCTATCGACGACTTCTTGACTTGCGGTCTTATACCCGATAGTTATAAGACTTGTGATCCAAAGCTATCGACGACTTCTTGACTTGCGGTCTTATACCCGATAGTTATAAGACTTGTGATCCAAAGCTATCGACGACTTCTTGACTTGCGGTCTTATACCCGATAGTTATAAGACTTGTGATCCAAAGCTATCGACGACTTCTTGACTTGCGGTCTTATACCCGATAGTTATAAGACTTGTGATCTAAAGCTATCGACGACGTTCCTCCTCTTTTAGGCCTAGTCTGTGGCCTATAGACGACCTTCTTCCTCTCTCACTTCGACCACACTTCGTCTTCACTTCGCTCTCACTTTTCTCTCACTTTGCCTTTACCTTCTTGCTTATAATGTCTGATATAAGCAAGATAGGTATTACCTTGTCTGAGTCATCAGACTGGTATCTCTGGATTGGTCAAATTAAGTCTTATGCTATTGCAAAAGGCGTATGGGACTATATTGACCCCGATAATCCAATAAAGAGGGATATTCCTTCTTATCCTATTCGTCCTAGGGTTACCGATATTAACCCTAAAGCCTATTCTGATGAAGATTTGACCACAAACGAGCGTGAAAGGTGGAGAGACAGACGAAGAGACTATGAGCTTGACCTTCGCGAATACGACCGCATTTCAGGTGCTATCTCCCAGATCTACCTTATCGTCCAATCATCGATCTCCTATTCAAGCAAGCTTATCATTCAGCACCTACCGTCGGTCTATGAAGCCTTACAAACCCTTCAAAAGCGCTATGCACCAACCACTGAAGCCCGAAAGCGGTCGGTCATCAAGAAATACCACCAAATGCGCCGAATCCCGCATTCTTTGACCATAGATGCATGGATTTCGCAATGCGAGAACACCTACGTAGAGGCTGTCCAATTAGGCATTGGTGAAGTCCAATCAAAGACTAGACCACTTTTGGACTTCCTAGATGGCCTAGCCTCTATGTCTCCCTCCTTCGCCGAATACTGGCATAATGAGATCAACCGGCTTGAATCTATAGGCCAGATAGACTCTATAGACTTCTTTACCTTGACAAAGAGGTATAGGGATTCTATTAGGCTTATACCGCCCAAACGAGCCTCTAATGTCCATGCGACTTTTCGAGGACATTCAGACAAGGACCAAGGCAAGAAGACCACCAAACTCTGCCCATGTAAAGGGGGTGTTAATGAGGGATATCATATATTCGATGATTGCCCTTATATAAACCCCTCTCTCCGACCCGAGGACTGGGAACCAGACCAATCAGTCCTAGACCGCTTTGAAGAGGCTTGCACCCATTCAGGCTTCAAATATGCATACAATAAGGCTATCCAGAAGCATCAGCATCAGCAGGATCAGTCTGACACCCACGTGGGTATGGTGACCTGCCTAGCTTCTAGGCATACACGGCCTAATGTGTGGGCATATGACTCGGCCGCAGACACCCACGTTTGCAATGATCGTTCCCAATTCGTGACCTTTTCGCCCTATAAAGGCAGCCTCTTCGTCGGTGATACTAAGACCTCAATCCAAGGTAGAGGTCTAGTCTATCTATCCTTTGGTAACACCACTTTTGACCTCCATGAAACCCTTTATGTTCCAGGTTTCCATATGAACATTCTCTCTGCGCAGAGGGCCAAGAAAGGGGGTGTTTACCATAATCAGAGGCTTAATAGGCTTGAAAAAGAAGATGGAACCCCTATTTGCAAGACTTCGGATGATACGGGCATTACCCTTATTTTAGGGTATCAGGACAAGCCTATGCATAAGGAACAGATCTCCCTTGCAACCCTTTCAATCTCCCCTCAAGATAATATCTTAAAGCCTATGGACAAGCCCATGGATGAGCCTAGGAAAGACAATCCTATAGCTCTAGCATCAATCCACAACCCAATGGCTTTGCGACCTCTATCGGATAAGACAGACCAATCATCCGATAATGACACTGACAAGTGTGAAAACGAGGATATAGACCATAAATACGATATCCTCGGCGACCTACCGCCTTCCCCAGACGAGTCAGAAGAAGAAGAAGAAGAAGAAGAAGAAGAAGAAGAAGAAGAAGAAGAAGCGAGGCAAAACCAATGCGGAAGTGAGGATAACCTTACTCTAAACGGGACCGAAAACGCACCTTATTCGGGCGATTTTAGAGTAAATGACCCTTCACTTTATCCTTACCCAGAAGTCGAAAACGCCTCACTTCCCTCCGAACCTTCTTTACCGACCCGAATCACTCTTCCTTCCGATAACCTCGTCCACGACTCTATTCATTCTGATGACCTCCCTATAAGGCCTAGATTTATGCAATCCGTAGGCCTATGGTGGAAACGCTTTCCCATGACCAGACCAAGCCTTTTGCCTTATCAGAAGCACCAGCGGTTTATCGATCATCTAAACATGACCGATATCCAAGACAGAATTGTCGAAATCTAGATCTATGAGACTATGTACGCATAGGCCTAATTCTATGCCTCATTCAGCTTATAAGTTCTGATAAGCTGAAGGGGGTGTATTGGAATATAGACCAATGCTACATAGAAAGATCTATCCTTATATTCAACATATAAGACCAGATTGCATTGATCACGTGACCAGATTTTTCTTCTATCAAAATGATGTTTTGACCACTTCTGATTCTGGTCCGCGGCCCTCCCCCGAACGATAGGCAGGACCATTTTCTTTAGGGGTAAATGGTCTGCCTTCAGGCATGAATGGTCTGATCCTGCGGGGGTGCTTTCGGGGTGGCTTAGACCGTCGATCCTTAACATCATTCTTTTCGCTTCTCTTCGGTTCCCTTCTTTGCCACCTTCATTATGTTGCTACCTAGTGTTTGTACGTCATTTATATGTTATTCTAGACGTCATTTCTAGGCTATCCTAGCCTATAAATACGTCCTTCTTGTCTAGCAGATAGAATCAAGTCAGTTCTACTTTCCTGAAGTCATTTCTACTTTCCTGAAGTCATTGTCCACTTTCCAAAAGTCATCTCTACCTTCTTCCTTTGATCCACAGGACTGTGGTTCTGCCTTCGTTTAGGCTATATCTGCTTATAGTCTATCCTACGACCTTTGACCTTCCACCTTTGTCTGGCACTGACTGACCCAGCCGGACTAAGGTTGACCCCACGGACTTAAGGGGCCACGATCTGCTTCGTGGTAGCTTTCCCCTTATATCCCAACACTTAATAGCTCTAACTAAGATTAAGACTAATATATCTTATAAATATATTAATAGAGTAATATCTTGATTATAGCTTAATAATTATTAATATTTAGTAAGCTTCTATTTAAAGAAGCTTAATTAAGCCTAATAATAATATAATAGATATAACTATAAGATACTTACTATTATTCTTATACTTAAGAAATAAAAGGTAAAGCTAAAAGCCCTCTAATAAGAGAATTAATTAAATATTTTCTTTAATTATTAAGCCTTATAATATTTTATAATTACTAAGAAACTAAACTCTTATTAGGCTTATTAGGCTAAGTTTTTCTCCTAATTCTATTTCCTAATCTATTATTTTATAGAGAAGCGGAATATTATTATAAATACCTTTCTCTAAAGGAATTCTAATTTAGGAGATAAATAAGAGTAGATTCTTCTCCCTTAGTTATATCTTAAATATAATATATATCTTAAAGACTATACTAACCCTAATCTTACCTTAATTAATATCTTTAAATATATTTTAATAGCTACTAATAACTCTAATATTATTAACTAAGTAACCCTTATAAACTAATAAAATAAGAGTCTTAAGGAGTTTTAAGAACTAATAGGAAGTAATTAGAATAAATCTTAAAAATTATAGGCTATTATTAGATATAAATTCTTTAATAATACTAAATAATAGGGACTTATAGGCCTAATTACTTAATAAGATATATTAATAGCCCTTAATAGTATATGTTAGATAGAATAAGATAAAGGCCCTTTTATCTATATAATAATTTTAGCCTAAATAGTCTATTAATATTAAATATTATATAGAAAACTATTTAGTCTATATAATATAAAGATATAAAGAGACTAGCTACTAAATCTATTATAATCTCTTTTTTTACTAAAATATCTATAATAATATATTATAATAGATTTTTGGTTATTCCCTAAGAATAAATAAGACTCTAATATAGTATTTATAGTAATGAATTAGTTAAGTAAATAGCTAGTCTCTCTTCTATATTATAAGAATATTAATATATTAGAGATAGCTTAGTTATTTATCTCTAATATTATATTTTATTTTAGCTTATTAGACTTAATTATATTAGACTAAAGAGACTAATTTATCTTAGAATTCTAAATAAAGATTTATTAAATCTTAAAAGTTAAATATAAGCTATTAATAATATATTATTTATAGATAGATAATTAGAGCGAGATTATAAATTAATGTATAATATAGTAACTTCATATATTAATTAATTAATATTAAATAACTAATATAATTAGTTTCTAATAATAGATTTTATTACTAAAACTCTATAATAAAATTTTACTAAGAGATCTCTATTCTTTATTAAATAAGAATATAAGTTATAAATATCCTTTAACTAAGATATATTTATAAAGCTATCTACATTATCTTAGTTAATATAAGAACCTTGAGACTATATTTAGTAACTCTAAGAGATCTAAAAGGATACTTAAAAGGAAATTAAATAATAAGAGTATTAATATATCTAAGCTAATAAATATCGCTAAAAATTAAATTTTAATATTAATAATATAGTCTTTATTATTATTAGAAATTAAAAACTTAACTAAGTAAGAAACTCTTTAAGTAATTTAGTAGCCCTTATAGGATTATTTAAAGAAGATTTTAGCTATTAGCTTAACTTACTATGTTTTATTAAGGTTAACTTAGTCTTTTCTTTAGATAAGCTCGGCTATATTATAAGTTTTAATTCGCTTATAGATTATATCGTAGACCTAACTTTACTAATAGACGTTAATAATTAAAAAAATAGAAAGTTAATAAAATTATAGATATCTAACTATACTATCGGAAGTTTTAATATAAGGCCAAATAGATCGAAATTAAGAATAATAACTCATATCCTATAAGTAATTCTAAAAATACTCCGGATAAGCTGATAGCCTTTTATAAGCGTTATCTAATATTACTTAGACCGCCTATATAATTATCAATACAGCTAAACGCTGTTTAAATAATTACTTCATAGGGGATTATCTAGATAATAGAAAATTAGAGCCTCGGGGTGAGCCTCTTTAAAAAGAGGGACTATATAATATATAACTATCTTAAGGCCTAAGGGGGAACATAATCTAAAAGGAGCCGTAGGTCTAACCTAATTTAGGATAGAAGTAATTTTGTTTCGTAGATGCTTGTTTCCCTCTTTCTCTCTTCTTCTTCTTCTTCTCCATTTTTAGTTGCTCTTGTTAATGATACACGAATTTGTCTTCGTCTTGGTCTGTACCACTCTCATCTATCTGGAGGATTATAGAGCATACGCCAGATGGATCTTTGTTAGGCCCGCCGAGAGCAATGAGCTCGAGTTGCATATTGCGACGGAGGATATCAGTTAGCAAGACCTCGCTTCGGCATTTTCGGAAGTGTCAGGTCAAAAGGCAGTGTACAAGGATATGACCTTGGGTGAGTACATTAAGCTTGGCATCCTGGATCCGGATATGATTGTTGGTCATTCGACTGATCCTAGTAACTCGACTTTAATGACCTACCGGGAGAACTTTTCGGGATCCTGGAATATGTGGAAGGACGATTTGACTAAAAGGGACTATCAACTGTTGGATATGATTTTACCGATAAGAGTGAAATCTGCGAAAAAGTGGATAAAAAAGACGAGTTATAGCGGGAAACCCGCGTCGCTGCTGAAGGAGTACCGGGACAAAGCTGCGAAGTAGTTAAAAAGCGCGTGATCTTTGGTGTTTCTGATAATTATTTTCTTGTTCAATTTGATAAATAATCCTGGCGCTATGATGGTGTATATTTCATTGTTACCAGTGAATACAGTTCAGTCCTGCAGCGGTTCCGGAGGGAAGGGCTAGCGCAAGGAGTACACCAAGTACGACGCGCCGAAAGATACGGACCTAATAATTGATAACGCTTTCGAAAACATATTGCCCCACAGTCTGCCGGTGGTGCGAGTTCGCTTTTGGCAATGAGGATTGTGATAAACCTGAGGATGGAAAAGCATGCGCAACACTAGAAAATTACATGAGGTTCGGGTTGGACAAATTGCGTTGTGTGAGCAGAAGTGATGAATATATTCTGGTCGGTCTCGATAGACAGTTAACAACCAAAACAAGTTTAAAGGAGACAAGCGTAGATCTGTATTCCTGCCAAAAAGACATCTCTAGCTTTCTCTCACGTGTTTACATTCTGCGTGTCAATTCTTTCTTGTCTCTTAGTTTCTGACTATCCTTGTCTTGATGCTAGGACGCCATAGCGATGCAGATACTAGATCGTATATGAGGAGTGCGCGAGTGAATCTGTTGTTGTTGAAACGAAATCCACTCGAGCAAAAAATGCCAATGACACTTTTAGTGCTTAGATAATCGTATACCTTGTGCCGACAGTTGTGTCACGGTCACGTGATCTGATTCCGGAACTGCTAGCGGTCACCGCCGCTTGACTATCCCGCGCCGCTAGAACGTTGTCCTTGAACCGTGGAGACAAATTCCAGATGTGAAAGACGGGCTTCGTGTCCTGTTCTTTACGGCTCTCGACACCGTTATTGGTTAGAACCATGGTGTTGACCTCATGACACGTCTAGGGGGGGTATTATTGAAGGACCGATAACCCTTGGCGATAATGGGCTAGACTTTTATCGACAAATGATCTCATCAGTTCTAAGTAACAGCGAGGGAGAGGCAGAGGCAACATAGGAAGTAAAGCCTCCCACATCTTGGTACCGTGGTGAGGCTGAGAGGAAAAACTGGTTCACCCAAGAGTATGCGACAGGCTCTCACGTGTGATGATCGCTACGAAATAAAACGTCCCCGGGAAAGCCGGCCCGCCTTGGTACTGATCGCCACCCTCGAAGAATCTGACTAGAGTCTCCTCCGTTTTCGATAGGTCTTAGCCAGACGATGATCACTACTGAGTTTCAACCACTTGACTCCTATAAAATAGACCGTGGACGGCTGGCTATGTGGGTGAGACCCATGGCAATCCCTGAGTCTACCTACCCACGGGTCTGGCATACATGCTTCTATTTCCGGGCTTGCACATACAAATGTCAGCGCTTAAGGGATTTTAAGCCAGCAAAAAGCCGAATAAACAGGTCATCTGTCGAAGGTTCAAGCCATTATAACATATCTCCATCCTAATATAATTCCTTTCTGTTCCGCATCAATTCATTATGAGTCCATCTTAAATGCAAAATCTTTCAACAATGTCCCAGGAAAAGCCCCCAGGAGTTGAACTATTGTGCAATCTGGCCAGCATCGTACGATCCGTCGCAAGTAACCTACAGCATAATCGCCTCGATAGGAAAGACTTTCAAAAGCTTTTACGGCATTACTCTTCTCAGGCCGAATCAGACTCTGCACTTATTTTTATTTCAAGGCAAAATGCTCAATGCGTTCATCATGGCCTGCTCCTAGCCCACACTCACATTGAGCTGGTATCCTGGCTGGAGAAGAACAACTACAACCTTGTATCAACATCAGTGAAGTGGTATAGCTGGAAGAAGCTTATCCGGAAATACCGATTACCGCTTCTGGCAATCTCATCGCAAACGAGCCAGCTCCGCGAGATGCTGCGCAATGTCCGGGAGAAAGCCGATATTTTATACTCGGAACTTCAGCGTAACAATGTAAGCTAATATTTCTATAAAATAGGGAGCATGAGCTAAGTGTTTGACAGATTGCGGTCCCATCTACATCGATCGAATATCGAAAAGTCCTCCTCAAACCTTTGCCACATGGACCTCCCCCAGAAGGTATGAGTACCTCCTCTTCTATAAAATAAAATCAGTTCTACAAGGATTAATATGAATCAGCCGTCGAAAATCTTCTTCGTCGGGGCTCCATCATTCAACAACAACTACGCCAGCCGTTGGATCAGTGATTCCTGTAAGGCATGGGAGATGGAACTGGGTTGGGACTCGAAGTGAATGGGATGGGACTAACTCGATCGGGACTGGTGTGGTTCACGAGGGTTTTTTACTGAGCGCGCGACGCACAGCACTTAGTTTCTTCTTCAGTTCCGTCCCTCCCGTTGAATACTACATGAACCTTTCCATTTTGAGTTGTAACAATGCCTCTTTCGAACCTCCCTTTCTTCTGTTATTAACGTAATCCACACCAAGCTCGCCACCACACCAAGCTCGCCACCCCATCCACCAATTCTTTATTCATGAAGCTTTTATAATACCACAACGCCTTTATATTTAATTTAGACCTTATCCGGGCATGCATAAGCCCTATGACCAGGCCTTCTACATAGACTACATGCGTATTGACGTCTACTGGTCTGATTATCGGTCGCTGAAGCCCTCCGGGTGGGTGTTGCAGACACTACCCCACCACCTTCTATACCACCTGGTAGACCAATGCCTTGCTCATGGGCTTCATAAACGAATAAGCCCTCATCGCGCTGTATTTGCCTTTTAGGCAATGCCTTCTTTTCTCTTTTTTTATAGTTTTCAGCCCGTAAATCGACCACTTCTTGCTCCAATAGAAGGATGCGCTTCATGACTTGTTCGCATGCCTTATAAGCCTGATCAAAGACGGCTTTCGTAGGCGTAGGTGGGCTATCAGACCGATACTTTATAAGGCGCTTAGCTGATGCCTTATGTTTTGAAAGCTATTTAATATTGCTTGGTGTTTTAGGGCAATAGATGCTTGATCGGCTTGATGGTCGGTCTGGTGGTGTAGGCGCACGAAGCTGAATATTAAGCTTATTAAGGACTTCTGCCGCATTTAAAGGTATTAAACCGGTCGCTTTGAATGCATTTTGAATGCTTCTAGCCTGAAATGCGTCTTCGCGTGCGTGTGGGTAGGCTGCAAGGAAATCAAGCTTGTCGATATGATTTATCCCCATACGCGTCTGTTGGTCTACCAGGCGACCGTATGATCGCTTGAGGACTGCGAAACAGCCTACATCTAGCGGTTGTAATAGATGCGAGCTATGCGGTGGCATGTATATAGGTATAACATCGTGCTCAGTGCACAAACGGTCGAATTCAGGCGTAAGATGGCTTCTATGTCCATCAAGGATTAATAGCCTATACCGACCACGCCGCCTACTTGCGGTTAAAGGAATAAATAAAGTCTTAAGCTATCGAAGCCCAATAGTATCAGACGTCCACCCATTGGGGCTGATTTCGAAGCGCCAGTCCTTTGGTGTATTGCAGAACTATGATTTAATGAAACGCTTGCCTTTAAAGATAATCAATGGCGGCAGTGCCCAGCCTAAGGCATTGACTGTTTCTACCGCAGTTACCTATTCACGATTGCCTGGCTGTAAGACAGAGCGACGGCCATAGTATTCAGCTCTTGTAACCACCCTTGCAGTAGAGACTAGGCCCATTACGAAGCCTGTTTCATCGAAATTGTAGATATCATCAGGTAGGATGCCATAGCGTTTAATAGTCTCTTCGACTAGCTGAAACCAAGCATTTAATACCCGCGGATCCTCTTGTTCTGCACGCGAATAATTATACCGACGCGAGAACCTTGTTTGAATAGCCGGTGTCCGCTTAATATAGTTTCCGACCCAATTCACGCCAACCGCATCGGATCCGGTCGCCGCAAGAAGGATATTGGCCATAGTGCGTACCATAGCATGCCTTGGGGCTGCACCGCGATCGTCCATAGATAGAATCCACTGGGTAAGCGTATCCTCGTCTAAAGGGGTCATTTTATAGGTATGGGCGCGTGTGGTAGCGATAGAATTGCGGCCATTGATACGGTCGCGTAGTGTAGACGGCGGGACATCAAAGACGCGTGCAGCAGCCGTAATAGAGGGAATATCTTTATTCTGAATAGCCTTAATTGCAAGCTCGATTCTACCCTCTTGCTGGATAGAATCTTGCTTATTTTTAGATCGATTTATGGGCATGGTAGGCGATTTAAAGTGGTGGGGGACGCGAAGAGACAATAAATTGGATGGGGTGGCGAGCTTGGTGTGGTGGCGAGCTTGGTGTGGATTACGTTAGTTGATACAAGTAAATTTGATACATCTCTTTGGAGCGATACTATGCCTTTACCAACCTTTCAATAGAAGTCTTGTCTGGATTTTAGAGAGCGAGATCCTCCTGGCTTAGGTCCTCTGCACTGTGACGCATGACTGTCTTGTGGCCTAAGGAAGGCCTGAGGGGGAACGTGATCTGGAAGGAGCCGTAGGTCTAACCCGATTGGGTATAGAAGTGGTTTTGTTTCGTAGTTGCTCGTTTCCCTCTTTCTCTCTTCTTCTTCCCTAGTTTAGTTACTTCTATTAATAATATACGAATTCTTCTTTGTCTTAGTCAGTAATATATAACTAAACTCTTCTTTTCTCTTCTTGTCGCCTCTAGGTATAGTCTAGATATTAGATACCTCGCTATCGCTATCTCGCCTTACTGATAATACCATTTAATAAATTAGAACTAAATAAATAAACCCCGAACCGAACCTTTACCGAACACTACCATAGAATAATATTATAGTTAAAGGAACCGATACCTATATAAAGTCTAAGTCGCGTAACCGACGCGAGAGATATATTATATTAACTAAAAACCTCCTTTCTAAAGAAGAGAAGAACAAGAAAAATATTAAAGAGAAGCTCACTAAAAAATAGGAGCTACCTAAGTTCTTAACCTTATCTTAGAACCTATTAAGACACTATAATATACTTAGCTTCAAATAATAACCTAGAGACTAAGGACCTTATTTATTAGGAGTTCTACTCTAAGGACTAATTCCAAAAAAAGTCTAAAAAGATATAGATAGCCTATAGAAATAACTAATTTAGCGCGAAGCCTATTAGACTTAATAAGACCTATAGATCTCTAATAATATATATCTAATAGAACTTTTATAGGCTAATATTAGATAACTTAAAGCTACTCTTATTAATCTAACTTAGGAGTAAGATAAGGCTATTACTTACTATAATCTTATAGTTAATAAATAAAATAATCTTATTTTTTAGATCCTTTAATCCTTAATATTAAGCCCTTAGAACCCTTCGAACTATTAAGACCCCCTAAGTCCTTAAAACCTATAATTATCTATTAGCTAAAATACCTAATACTCTTATATTAGATAATAGTAAGATAGTTTATTTTAATATTTAGGCTATAATATTTAAATATAAGCTAGCTATAAATATTAATTATTATTTTATTACTAAATATTATATAATCTATATTATAAGCTATTATAAAGGGAAGGTACTCCTTTATATTTATTTTTATCTAAAGGAAGATACCTTAAACCCTTACTAAGATATCTTAGATATTATAGAGTATCTAAAGGGTATTTTCTAGAACCTAAATCGTATTACTAAGGCTTACTAAAATATTAGTATCTAATAATAAAACTAAGGGATAGCTTTAATAATTTCCTCGCTAAATTTATTTAATTAGCTAAACTGGCGAACTAACTAAAGGATTACTAAAAGTGAGACCTTTATAATAAGCTCCCGAATTTATTATAGACCTAGATAATATTATTTATAGATAAGACTTCCGTTAATTTTAACAAGTTTATTTATACCTACTAAAGTATAGCTTATAATATTATTCTCTAATTTTAGGCTAAGAAATCCTATAAGCTAACTACCCCTTTTAGAGCTATTATTAGAACCCTAAATAATATACCCTATTCCTATATCTTACTATCCCTATTTATAGAGTATAAGAGTATAAGTATCGCTCTATATAAGCCGCTATTAATTAAGGAATATAATACTTTAATAAAGGAAGGTCGCTACTTTAACTATTATTAGTAAGAATATATAACTCGTAAGTGCCTAAAAAAGAATACTATCTCTACAATCGCTACCGCTAAACTTTAGGTACTAAAATAGCCGCCTAACCCCCCTTAGGATAATTAGTTAGGAAAAGCCTAAACCTAGAAGAAGTCTCCTTTTTAGGTAATAAGAAATTATTACTTTATTCTCTAAATTTAACTAAATTATTTAGATTAGGTAAAAGTCTTAGTTTTATCGCTTAGATAGCCTATAATAAATATTCTCTTTTAATTTTAATATTTAGTAATATCGGAGTAAATAGATATATTTATATTAATTTATTTCTTATAATATAGGCTATAAAGGAATTTAGCTTATATACTTTACCCTTACCGTACCTAATCCTAACTAAGGGCTATAATAAATATCTCAGAAAGCTAATTACTTATACCCTTAAACTAACCCTAATTATTAATAGCTAGAGACTCCTTTATCTACTAATATTAATTATTAATTTTAGATAATATAACCTAATTCTTAGGTAGATATAATTTAAGGAGTTTAGTGGCCTTTCGGACTATTAAAAAGGATAACTTATCTAGCCTAAGGAGCCTAGCCTTAGGGATAATATAATTACGAAGATACCTACTGTCCTCCTTTAGTCTATTCTAAAAAGACTAAAGCTAGATCCTCGGTATTAAGAGGACGCTAACTAATAAAATAGATTATTTTAAGACTCTCCCTAACCGCGTATAGCCTAAAAGCTTTTTCTATTCGGTAATAACTAAGTCCGTAAGCCTTTACCTCTATAGCTATTATTAAAATCTTTAGAACGCTATTTTAGCCCCTCTAATATTATTATACTTATTAGAGATATTAGATTTTATTAATATATAGGGAAGGAAGGTAATAAGATCTTCCTTATATCTCTTTATAAGATTAATTATATCTTAGAAAAGAAGCGTAATACTTAATAGTAGGCTAAAGACTAAGAGATATAGAGTGTAATCTCTAAGGAGTACTATAAGTACGCTAATATTTTCTTAAAATAGCACTTAAATACCTTATCGCTATATTAAGGTACGACTAATTATTATATCTTTCTCGATAAAAAAATAACGCCCGGATACTACTCTCTTTATAAGTAATCTAAGGAAGAACTCTAGGCGATAGAAGCCTATATTACCTAGAACTTTCCCTAGGGCTTTATTATACTTAGTAAGGCCCTCTATATATCTCCTATCCTTATAGTCTAAAAGGCTAATAGTAATCTATAGCTCTATATAGATTATCGAAAGCTTAATATATTTATAAAAAAAGACCGTTACCCTCTTCTATTTATTAATAAGATTCTCTAATAGCTTAGGAAGGCTAAGATATTTATAAGGCTTAATATCTATTAAGGATTTTATTAAATCCAGATATATCCTAACTTAGAGGATCTTATTACTTTCCGAACGCGATATAGATCCTTTAAGTATAAAGTAATACCCTTTAGCGTTATAAATAGGCCTACTATATTCTAGAGATTTATTAATAAGATACTAAGTAATTATTTAGATAATTTCGCTATTATATTTATTAACGATATCCTAATTTATAGTAAGATAATTAAGGAATATATTTAATATATAAAAAAGGTACTATAATAACTCCTTAAGGCCGGCCTATAGGTAAGCCAAGGTAAATATAAGTTCTATTAATAGAGTACCTATTTTCTAGGGTTTATTATTAGTACTAAAGAGGTCCGTATAGATCTTATAAAGACTACCGTTATTTAAGACTAATAATAACCTATAACGGTTCGCGATATACGGTCGTTCCTTAGCTTCTATAGGTTTTATTAGAGGTTCGTTAAGAACTATAACTAAATCGCGAAATCCCTAAATTACCTAATAAAACAAATATACCTTTTAAATAAAGTAAGGCCTACGAAAATGCCTTCTAGGAGCTTAAGGAGAAGCTTATCTTAGCCTTAATTCTAATATATTATAACCTAATCGCTCTAACGAAGGTTAAGACTAATATATCTAATAAATATATTGTTGGGATATAAGGGGAAAGCTACCACGAAGCAGATCGTGGCCCCTTAAGTCCGTGGGATCAACCTTAGTCCGGCTGGGTCAGTCAGTGCCAGACAAAGGTAGAAGGTCAAAGGTCATAGGATAGACTATAAGCAGATATAGCCTAAACGAAGACAGAACCACAGTCCTAAGGATCAAAGGAAGAAGGTAGAGATAACTTTTAGAAAGTGGAAAATGACTTCAGGAAAGTAGAACTGACTTTTTTCTTTCTGCTAAAAAAGAAGGACATATTTATAGGCTAGAATAGCCTAGAAATGATGTCTAGAATGTCATATAAATACTAGGCAGCAACATAATAAAGGTGGCAAAGAAGGGAACCGAAGAAAAGCCAAAAGAATGATGTCAAGGATCGATGGTTTCAGCCACCCCGAAAGCTTCCCCGCAGTATCAGGTTATGCATACCCAAAGGTGGACCATTTTATCCCTAAGGGAAAGTGGTCCGCCTATCCTTGAGGGGACTGAGGGTCGAAGTCTGTTCACCGAGGTTCGAAGACCATGGTCGAAGTCCGCGGGCAAGATATGCCCGAAAGCACCTCCGAAGGAACAGACCATTCATGCCTGAAGGCGGACCATTTACCTCTGAAGGAAGATGGTCCCGCCTATCGTTCGGGTGAGGGCCGCGGACCAGAATCAGAAGTGGTCAAAATATCATTTTGATAGAAGGAAAAAATCTGGTCACATGATCAATGCAATGCTGATCTTATATGTTGAATATAAGAATAGATCTTTCTATGTAGCATTGGTCTATATTCCAATATATATTAGTAAAGTAATATCCTAATTATAGCCTAATAGTTATTAGTATCTAGTAAGCTTCTATTTAAAGAAGCTTAATTAAGCTTAGTAACAATATGGTATATATAACTATAAGATACTTACGATTATTCTTATACTTAAGGAGTAGAGGGCGGAGGTAAAAGACCTTTAGTAAGAGAATCGATTTAATATCTTCTCTAATTATTAAGCCCTATAGTATTTTATAATTACTAAGGAACAAAACTCCTAATAGGCTCGCTAAGCGGAGTTCCTATCCTAATTTTACTTTTTAATTAATTATTTTATAGGAAAGCGGAATATTATTATAGATACCCTCTCCTAAAAGGGTCTTAGTTTAGAGGATAGATAAGAGTAGATTCTTCTTCCTTAGTTATATCTTAAGTATAATATATACCCTAAGGACTATACTAACTAGACATTGACATAACCCATGGGTTGGGTCCATGGGTCGAACCCAACCCGTCCATGGACGGGTCCTGGACACCTACCCCGAACCCATGGACGGGTCAGGTCTGGCTGCCCATGGACGGGTTAACCCATGGGTTTCTTGGCAACCCATAGTACCGTAAGACATAAGTTATACAATTTATGTAGTATTTAATGTATTAGAGTGGTAATATTTAGACAGAATATTACCGCATTTATTTAGGAAGTGAAGATCAAGTGAAGATCAAGTGAGATTAATTAAATACTAAACTATTTACTAATTTCGAACCCTTTATGTATCCTCGGCGCCTTCCTTACCCTTCCAGAATGCCGTACTTGGCTTATTAAGGGTAAACCACTATTATTATTATCACTTTGCTCACTTTTATGATCAGACAAAACACTCTTTCGTCTCTTCCCTACCCTCACAGATAGCCTCACTTTATCGTCACCTTCCTCAGTATCGCTAATTAGATCAATCCCTTCTAACGAAGGTGAAATCTTCTTATTTTCACCTTCTTCAGGGATCTCTAGAGCCCGAGCTAGTTTAAGCTGTTTATCTTCTATCTTAAATTAAGTAAGGCAAGAGAATATTATTAGATCCTGGATAGTTATTGAGTTCAGACGACCTCGGCGATAATAATAAACATCGCGGGCTAAATTAAATAGCCTCTCTACCCCCGCACTAGTAGCGGGAATAGAGAAGATATCGCGGGCTACCCGTGCGAGGGTAGGATATTCAAATTAATGGTCTCTCCAGAAGGCCTAAGGGGTAGTGCGTATAATACCTAAAGAGAAAGAGAAGTAAGCAAAGAGGGTAAAGAGGCTTAATAAGCGAGCAAGCCTTTAAATAGGAGTTAATCGGACTCGGGGGAGGAGTCGATCAGACTCGTGGAAGGAGTCGATCAGACTCGTGGAAGGAGTCGATCAGACTCGTGGAAGGAGTCGATCAGACTCGTGGGAGTAGTCGCTTAGACTTAATAATATAAGGGATTAACCTTATAAGAGGAGTCGACCCAACTAAAAAGAGGAGTCGACCTAACTAAAAAGAGGAGTCGGTCTAACTTAAAAGTGGAGTCGAGCTAACTTAAAAGAGGAGTGGAGGAGACTTAAATAAAGAGGCTTACCGGCTTAAAGATACCGTGCGAGTTTATCCCGGTCTAGGTTAGATTCACCTTTATCTTCGAGTAACCGATCAAGTTCCGACCCTTATATATAAGCTTTAGATAGAAGGGTGTTATTCTCTTCGAATTGATAAGCTTTAATCCGATCTTAAAGGGTGCTGTGATAGTGTTCGGCCCATATCTGAGTAGAGCCCTCTGGCCCACCAGACCATTCCTTGCGTTTGAAGTACTGTAACTTATCCTTTAGTGCGAGGATAGTGCTATACGTATATATATTACTAGCCTTAGGCTAATCGGTCTTTACGTAGTACTCACGGAGCTTCTGTAGGCCTGCTTTAAGAGCGACAAGCATCTGTTACTTCCATTTAATCTAATATTCGTTAGTATAAGGGTAAATAAAAAGTAAGAGAGAAGTGAGAGAAAAGTGAGAGCGTACCTTCTTCTTTTTAAGCTGACTAATTAACGCCTCGAGGTGTTTAAATAGCTTATTGTAAAGCTTAAACACCTGATGGATAGTCACGTCTTTTATCTTTGAGAATGTGCTTATATATAGGAAGAATGGTCTTATGAGGTAAAGAAGATAGTTAACCTGTCGCCATTCCTCGGAATTAAGCTTTAGGTTATCTAGGCACTCAATATGGCAGTACCTATTAAAGTATGGCTATAGTCGTTTAGCTCTTTGTAATATCAGATAGGTGGAATTCCACCGTGTTCGGACGTCCTGAATTAGGACTAATTGACTAGGTTCCATCGATTGAAGCCTAAGGAATTCCGCACGCCTTTGTGGGCTTCCGTTAATATATATTGTAAGCCGGCGTACCCTATCGAGGGTGTTTGTAATATCCCCTTTCTGTCCTCGCTAGGTAGAAGCCTTCTGTAGCTTATCGGTCCACACTATATTCACTGTGTCGTTCTTTGGCTTTGCTTTGATCCGATATAGGAGCTTATTAAGGCTAAGCTGAATTATATACGCCATACACGGAATATAAATAATAGAGATGTCTGGATAGATCCGTTGGACCTTATTAAATATTGTCTTATTGTTTGACGTATTATTAGTGGTGATAGCCAGAATCTGATCTTTAATCTTATGTCTGTTAATAATAGTATATAGGGCTAAAGCAAGGTTCTCCCCAGTATGTGTACCCTCGAGGGGTTCGAAACCGAGTAGGATCTGCCTATATTCCCACTGTTTATTAAGGAAATACCCAGTGATAGCCATAAATGCCTAATGAAAGGGCGACGTCCAGCAGTCAAGTATAAGTAATAGCTTTGCGTCTGACGGAAGCATATTTAGTATGCCTTGCTGTTGGATTTGGACGGTGCTTTGAAGCTAACGAGCAAGGGTTTTACCCGTTTGGATAATAGGGAGGGAAGGGGCTTATTGGGTTAAGCGTAAAAGGTCTCGAAAGTGCTGGTTTTCGATAATCTGGAATAGTAGACGAAGGCTAGTGATTGTGACCAAAAGCTGCTTCTTCTAATCGTTTTCATCCTATACGTCGGGCGGGGGAGCGTATAGAGCTTAGTGATTCAAACAAAGGAGTATTAGTCTTACTTCTCTTTTACTTTTCTTTCACTTCTCTTTCACTTCTCTTTTACTTCTCTTTCACTTCTCTTTCACTTCTCTTTCACTTCTCTTTCACCTTTGTCTTACCTAGGTACGGATAGCCGCCTGGATATTTCTCTGTTTCAGCTTACCCTTTGGTAGGCATCTTTCTCTATGCCTTGTTATAATATTCGTCCCATTTTTAGGACTATGCGCGTAGATCTGGCTATAGTCCTTATAGGTAATGCATGGTCTACTAGTAGAGATCTCTGCGCCCTGTTCAAAGTGTGTCCAAACCTCGGATATTAAGCCCCTTTTATCCTACCGGGGATGTTCCGCTCGTGGTTTCTGCCCATATATTGTTGTAAGCCACTATTAGATGTATATAGCCTTATTTATATCGGTCCATAGGATATAGTTTCTCTTAGGTCCGACGCGTTCAAGGATCGGTGGGGGCTCGGTAGTAATAGGCGCGGTAGACTGGCTTTCAGGAACCGAGGAGGGTGGGATAGAGAAGCAGCAATCAGATAGAAGAGGGTCGATACTATCACTCGTGATAGAATCAAAGTGTTCAGATAAGGATCTAGCCATAATAACGCGAAAGAACGTAAAAGTAAGGGTGAAGTAGGGAGGAAGTGAACCATGGAATAAATAGCGGGTAGGACTATACACGCGTTAATTGGTTATAACGCGTGTTGAGCGGGTCTTTTGATCTGATGTCATTGGTCTAATCCTTAGGCACGGACCCATATACCTATTCTGCAGAATCAATCTCTCTAAGGCTGTGAAAGGATTAGTCTTTATCTTCACTACTCACGCAAATCAAATATATAAGCTCTTAAACTAGGAGATAAAGTAGAGATATATATAGATAATACGTACACAAAATATCATAGCTTAATATTGACATTTGGGTGAATTAAAAATTAAAGAAGAATCTCCAACAGAAAGTGGTAGTACACTTATCTACGGGAAATATATATTTCTGCTCTACACCACTAACATAGACACAACTACCCTATTATAGACGATAATAATTAGTCTTCTTTATGCGACCGATACAAAACGTACTAGTCTAGGTATAAACGATCATATTTCATATAAATACAGTAGGGAAGGATGAAAAAAGAGGGAATGGTATGCGTTTAGACCAGAACTAAGGTAGAAAACGGTAAATAAGCTAAAAATTATGCAAAAAGTTCAGGCTGAATCAGGCCAAATCAGGCCAAATCAGGCCGAAAATCCTAAATCAGGCAGGATTAGGTGTCCATGGGTTGCCCATGGGTTAACCCAACCCAACCCATGGACGGGTCAGGTTCCGCTGCCCAAGCGTGGGCAACCCATGGGTTGGGTCATGGGTCGAACCTTCTGCCCATGGACAACCCATGTCAATGTCTAATACTAACCCTAACCCTATCTTAATTAGTACCTCCGAATATATTTCAATAGCCGCTAGTAACTCTAATATTATTATCTAAGTAACCCTTATAAACTAATAATATAAGAGTCTTAAGGAGTTCTAAGAATAGATAAGAACTAATTAAGATAGGCCTTAAAAACTATAAGATAGGCTACTATTAAATATAGGTTACCTAATAGTACTAAATAATAGGGACTTATAGGCTTAGTTACTTAATAAGATATATTAATAGCCCTTAATAGTATATTCTAGATAAAATAAGATAAAGGCTCTTCTATCTATATAATATTTTTGGCTTAGATAGTCTACTAATATTAAATATTATATAGATAACTATTTAGTCTATAAGCGTATAAAGATATAAAGAGACTAATCACTAGGTCTATTATAACCTTTTCCCTCGCTAGACTATCTATAGTAATATATTATAATAGATTTCAGATTATTTCCTAAGGATAAATAAGGCTTCGATATAATATTTATAGTAGTTAATTAATTAAGTAGCCTATCTCCCTTTTATATTATAAGATAATTAGAGCGCTAGAGATAGCTTAGTTATTTATCTCTAATATTATATATTACTTTAGCTTACTAAACTTAATTATATTAGACTAAGAAGGCTAATTTATCTTAGAACTCTAAATAAAGGTCTACTAAATCTTAAGGATTAAGCGTAAGCTATTAATAATATATTACTTATAGATAAATAGCTAGAGCGAAATTATAAACTAATATATAATATAGCGACTTTATATATTAATAAATTAATATTAGGATAATTAGTCTAACTAGCTTCCGATAATAGATTTCGTTACTATAGCTCTATAATAGGATTCTACTAAGTAGTCTCCCTTCTTTATTAAGCGGGGATATAAGCTATAAATATCCTTTAACTAAGATATACCTACGGAACTATCTACGTCGCCTTAGTTAATATAGAATACTTAGGACTATATTTAGTAACTTTAAGAGGTCTAAAATAATACCTAAAAGGAGATTAAATAAGCCTAAGAGTATTAATACGCCTAAGCTAATAAATATCGCCGGGAAGTAGATTTTAATATTAATAATATAGTCTTTATTATTACTAGGAATTAGAAACTTACTTAGCTAAGTAAGAAACTCTCTAATTATTTTAGTAGCCCCTATAATATCCTCTTAAAGGAAGGTAATAGCTACTAACTTAACTCATTACTCTCTATTAAGATTAACTTAGTCTTTTCTCTAAATAAGCTCCGCTATACGGTAAGTTCGGATCCGCTTATAGGTTAGATCGCAGACCTAGCGTTATTAATAGAAGTTAACGACTAATAGAAATAGGAAATTAATAAAATTATAGACGTCCGACTACGCTATTAGAAGCTTTAATATAAGGCTAGGTAGATCGGAATTAAGGATAATAACTAATATCACGTAAGTAATTTTAAAAATACTCCGGATAAGCTAATAGCTTTTTATAAGCGTTATCTAACCCTACCTAGACCGCCTATATAGTTATCGATATAGTTAGACGCTACTTTAAATAATTACTTTATAGATAATTATCCTAAAGATAAAAAACTAGAGCCTCGGGGCGAGCCTCTTTAAAAAGGGGGACTATATAATATATAACTATCTTATAGCCTAAGGAAGGCCTAAGGGGAACATAATCTAAAAGGAGCCGTAGGTCTAACCCGATTAGGCATAGAAGTGGTTTTGTTTCGTAGTCACTCGTTTCCCTCTTTCCCTCTTCTTCTTCTTCCCTAGTTTAGTTGCTTCTGTTAATCATACACGAAGTCTTCTTCGTCCTGGTCGGGAACATGCACATTGACTCGTCGATTAATTACCGTACTTCCTGACGCTTGTTTGCTCTTAGCAGATTTGTCCTACATACATAAATCAGGTAATGTGTGGGAGATCCAGTGGGAGATCCAATAAGAGATCAAGTCTTTCATCCTTCGATGAATAAAAGGATATTTCCTTAATAGGAAACCTCAGGGTATGATATGATGATTGAAGAAGAATTAATTTTTTTTGTACAGAATTGCGGACATATTTATATCCAATCAACAATATTCTAGGCCCATATGAGACTTGCATTGTTTTAAGTCTAGGCCTGTCTTGCTTTGAAATCAATTATAGTCTAGGCATCATTAATAGTCTATCCATAGAACACCTTTTAATAGACCAATTATAATTAGGTGGCTTTTCGTATTTACCTGACCAATTATAAAGATCATAGTCTTCTTGAATGACTAAAGGTAATGACTAAAGGTAATACTGACAGTCCTTGATATGCTGACAAAGATAATGCTGACAGTCCTTAGATATGCTGACAGAATGCCACGTGCCATGGATGAGCTTACTCACTTATTCACCTAGTGACTTTGACTGCTGTCACGAGTTCTAGTAGGCAAAAACCGGCACAGACGATACACATATATAAGCGAAATCAAGTTATATAATATTTGTTCCGATAAGTATAAGCGCTGAAGATAATATATAAATTAAATTAGATTATTTTTATCTATTCTATTAAGTTTTATGGAGGGATTTAAAGTTACTATCCTTTAGCGGATATAGATAGTGTAAAATTCTAAAAAAGATTGGTGTTTGGTCCGAAATTCTTAAAGGGAATATAGTCTAAAGTATAGAGGATTAGCTTAGTTAAAGATATATAAGGTTATACCTATATTCAAGAATAATCTAACTAGACCTCATAACCGCCCGCGAGCCACCCTCTGAGGGCCGCCCACGGACCTGCAGTTTTGCGGGCGGAGGGCGGGCTCTACCTACCCGACCCGGTTAGCCCTCGAAATATTTTAAGGGCCGACAATTATAATAAATATATAAAGCCCTATAATTATATAAAATATACCAGTTTTAACTGTATTTTTGCGTATTTAATTTATAATAATAATAGGTAATTTTAGATAGCTATTAGAAATTAGGCTTATATATGCTTAGAGATATAGAAGAGAGATATATATATTATTTATCTAAAATAAGGATTGACTTTTATAACCTTTAAGAAGCTATAAGCGCTTTCGAACCCTTCCTAATTACTAATATTATATATTAGGTAAGTTAGGCTTACCCTTCTCTTTATACTCTCTTTACTTTAGCCTTATTAGCGAGGTTTACTATTATTATAATTAGGCTATTAAAACTAAGGGTTATATAATATTAATAATTAATACTATATTATTAATCTCCTTGTTATTATTAATTAGCTTAAGATAGGGAGTATTTAGATCTTTCTTCTCTTAGTTAGCCT